AAAAAGCACTTCTCGGCTTTTGACTTTAAAAAGTTAAAAAGAGTGTTTTCAAGTGACGACTTCTGCTTAACTAAAAACTAAAAAGTTACTCGTAAAAGGTAGAATCTGTTTTTTACTTTTTTTTATTACACAAAAGGCACATATTTTGCCAAACACTACCAACTTTTACTTTTCAAAATCACTTTTTTCTCAAACACTACCAAATTTTATTATTAAGCACTTTTTCCAAAATCACTTTAAAAAGTAATCTGTTTTAAAGTACAAGCTATTGCAAACACTCCCTTAGATTGGCCCCTTAGCTACCCCCGCTCACATTAGTCCCTTGAGGCATTAAACTAATTCTGGTGCATTAAATGTGCTTCCCGCCAATTATCCTGGGGTAGCAAGTCAAAACTTATTCCTGAGAATTTGGCTATTGTTCAAGGATCTTGTGCCCGCGGCCAATGTCGTGCGGGCAGTGGTGCTCGAGCCTGGACACGTCGCATGGTCGCAAGCCTTTTGGATTTGTTTACTCACGGGTATTTTCGACCTGTCCCGTGCTGGGCCATTTACCCCGACATGAAGATTTAATTTAATATTGCTTGATAAAAAATGTTGATTTCGCGAATTAATTTGTATCGGATGGAGTGGTAGGTATGACACATAATAGTTTTCTCACCTTACCTAAGCATTACTCAGTGAGAGTAATTGTAATTATTAACAAAGAATCGTTGACCAAATGATTTCCCATTATATGCATATTAATTGAAGAAAAAAGATTGGGGTACACACAATTTGTACACAAAATTTGTACACTTGTCTGTCCCTCACAGACAAGTTGTCTGTCTCGAGATGAGTTGTCTACGAGGGACGGACAAGTGTACAAAATTTGTGTACAAATTGTGTGTACCCCTAGCTCCACCCTTAATTGAATAGATAGAAAGAGTGAAAGGCATAATCATTCATTGATATCCCTTCTCTTATATTCAAATTGAATGACACGATGATTCACTCGCGTAAGACATCTGAAAAATATTTCCAGCTTAGAACTCCAGACACATGTATCACGAAGGTACTAGACTCACAAACATCACACATACCACCAGAAACAAAGGAACTAACCACCTAGGTAAAGAAAGCCCAACCCAACCCATCCCATCCCAATTACCATCTTAAAAATCACCCTAGAACCATAGAGAAACACACACGAGCAGAGTTGTAAAGGGGCGGAAGAAGAGGGCTAGCCAAAGACCAAACCCTCTCTCTCTCTAGGAATTCTTTAAAACTAGGATTATCAGAAGTGGCTCACACAGACAAGTGAAGAAGGAGACAGTAAATAGGCAGGCTACAACAGCCCAATAAAGTAAGTAGACAACGATAACAATGAACCCAACAAGGGGCAAACAAAGGAGAGAGATTTGGGCTAGGGCTATAAAACAAATAGGCCCAAGTAATAGAAAGCCAAGGTCATATGGCCAATTTCTCTGAGTTCTCACAACCCGTGTCAATCCATCCACCCATCACTAAATAAAATATCATAATTGAAGAAAGGGATAAGGTACAAATATACCCCTGTAGTATCCGTGTGAGAAAAAATATACCCCTATTCTATTTTTCGGAACAAAAATACCCTTGAAATATATGTTGAAGTGCATATATACCCTTGAACTTTTAAAAAGTGCAAAAATACCCCTCATGTTCGTATAAATGAGCAAATTCACCCTTATTGACTTTAAATAGATAAAATAAATTTCAAAAAACACAAAAAATAAATTATAAATTCAAAATTTAAAAATAAATATTTATTACGAGTGTATGTTAAAATATTAACTCTTTAATTTTAAATTTAAAAATTATTATTTTTCCATTTTAATTTAAGCACTTCAAATTCATTAATTTTAATTTTAGTCTTGTTGCGAAATTTTAAACACATTGATACATTTTTTGAAATAACATTTTTTGATTTTGTTTAACCTTAATAAAATTAAATTCACTATTTTGTAATCTTGGACTATTTATCATCATACAAAATACGTAATTTTTATGGTGCAAAGAATGCAATTTTGTTTTACATTGCAACACATATATTAACACTTTTTCGAAAGAATCTTAAATATATAATAATGTTTTGAAATAATATTTTATACTAGCAGTATTTAGATGATATACAAACAATAAAAGGGAGAGTTGGACATCACAAGTACTATTTTAAAAAATTTTAATTTTTTAATTTCGAATTTTGAATTTGTTTTTTGGTATTTTTTGAAATTTATTTTATCAATTTAAATTCAATAAGGGTAAATTTGCTCTTTATAAGAATATGAGGGATATTTTTGCACCTTTTAAAAAGTCCATGGTATATATGCACTTCTACATATACTTCAGGGGTATATTTGTTCGGAAAAATAAAACAAGGGTATATTTGTTCTCACACACATACTATAAGGGTATATCTGTACCTTTTTCCTTGAATAATGACTTTATCAACAAACAAGATAGGAGTATCTTCAACTCTTCAAGTAAGTAAATCATATCTCGTATAAACTCAAATAGTATTTTGTTTGTTTATTTGGATTAGAGAAAATCCAAAGATTATTTTTACACACCCTTTAACTTAAGAGTTTTTTTTTTTAAATATTACTAAAATACGGAGTAATTCTTCTTTACATAAATATGACTAGTAGTTACCAACATAGTACCGTGTAGGCATGGGCTCGGGACGGGTCGGGTCCAGGTCGGGCCTAGGCCCGGCCGGGCTTTTTATGATTGGGGGAAGGCCCGGGACCGGCCCGAGGTTCCACCGGGTCTGGTTCGGGCCGGGCCGGGCCTTGGGTCGGTTTATATATATATATATATATATATATATATATATATATATATATATATATATATATATATATATATATATATATATATATATATATATATATATATATAGGGGAAAGTTCAAGTACAAAGTGTGCTTATTGTGCAAATATTTGTACGATGCACCTTGATGTTATTTGCATTGCATATTGAGGTTCAAAGTATTGCATATTATAAAGTCATAAAAATAACAGTTGCACATTAAGGTGCAACGAGTTGCACCCTAAAAAGTTGGGTTTTATTACAAAAATGCCACATTGCCTTTATATCCTTTGGATCAACTCATCGGACGGTCAAGATGAGTTTGTACTTTGTAAATTAAGAAGGCTTTGTATTTGATCTCTATTCTATATATATATATATATATATATATATATATATATATATATATATATATATATATATATATATATATATATATATATATATATATATATATATATATATATATATATATATATATATATATATATATATATATATATATATATATATATATATTTGCTTTCCTAACTACCCCCCTCACCCCCCACCCCACCCCCAAAACACCCAGCCCAACCCGGGGGAAACAAAAAAATTGAAAAAACAAAAAAAAACATTTTGGCCCGAACCGGGCCCGGCCGGGCCGGGTCACCAATTCACATACCCGAGCCCGTCCCCGCTTTACCCACCGGTTCGGGTCCAAGCCCGGTACCGGACCGAAGGACCGGGCCGGTCCCAGGCCCGCACAGTAGCAGGTCGGGCGGCCCGATACGAGTCCAAGCCTAGTACCGTAAGTGTAAAATTTGAACTTAGGTTACTACAATTAAGTTACTACTATAATCACTAATCACAATTTTATAAATAAGCTTTACTTTAGTTATAAATATTGATATATGTAATTATTTCTTAACTTAATCCTGATTCGTCACCACATAAACCTCTAATACAAATAGGGCTTTTGCCTTCAATATTACTAAATTAAAGCCACTTTTCTAAAATGTGACCATTTTTCAAAAAGACAAAAAAGTGACTAAGAAAGTCATATATTTGAAAAAACATACTATCACTGTCAGATTTTATGTCACTGCCTGTTGTTGTCACAGTAACCGCTGCCTATGTCACTATAACCACCGCCCATGTCACTATAACCACCGCCCATGTCACTGTAGTCACCTTCGTGTCACTGTAGCCACCGCCCGTGGCACTGTAACCACCTCTCGTGTCACTGACACCGCCACCGCCCAATGACAACCCCGCCAGCATTGCCATACCATAGACACAACCAAACTGTACTGCCCCTTCCATCCCCATGTCGTCAGCGTCACCGTGACCCAGCCACCCCCAGTCATCACCGCCAGTCACCATCACCACCCACCCGCCCTCAGCCCCAACATCCAGCCCCCATCCCATGCTCCTCTGCCCCGCCCCTGTCCTCCCCCCACGTCCTTGTCCGGCCGATTTGCACAAAACATTAGCAATAAAGCCACCGCCAGCAGCGGCGGTCCCAAATCGGACCCCAGCAGTGACAGCGGCCCCAAATCGGACCCCAGCAGTGGCGGCGGCCCCAAATCGGACTCCGCCAGTCCGCCAGCAGCGATGGTCCCAAATCGGACACCAAATGAGAGTCATTGGCTGTGGAGTATGCAAATTCGGGACCGGCGGCCCAAATAGGAGTCATCGCCCACTGAGAAAGATGAATCTGGACCGGCGGCCTCACATCAAAGCCGTCGTACACCGGAGACGCGGCTAGCTAAGACAACAAAAGTAGATGAAGGTCAGGGCGGAGGTGCAAGATGCTACCGTCAGAGACGTCCGATTGCGGCGGAGGTGGTGGTTGCAACTTGTGGCGGAGCTCAGGTGTTGTGGTGGTTCACTGATGAAGACGGCGAACAGAGTGCAGTGACTGGTTCGAATAGTTGAAAGGAGAAGTGGTTCGAATAGTTGAAAGGAGAAGAAGGCAACAAGAGTTTGGAAGGGGAAAAAGGCAGCGAGAGTTTTAAGTTAAGGTCACCTTTATGGAAAAGCTCAAATCAATTGTAATGCAAGGGTCATACGCGTGCCATTTTTTCATACAAATATACAATTACAGATACCAAGTTCTTGGGTCGGTTCTGAGCTGGGATTGTTCCCATATGCCACAATCCCTTGTCCGCTTATATGCAGTATCTGACCTGGGCTCAACAAAGGGCCACCATTAAACTTTATTTATCCATGTCTCTCATATCCATTGCTAACACAATTGTATCTCATTGCCAATTTTGCAACACAACCACATGAAACAGATAAACTACACCTCATCATTTATCTAGGTCTTACATTCATTGCAATACTTTCGCGACTGCAAATTTAAAATAAATTAATTACTCATATATATAGAAAATATACCATTGTGTACATACCGCAAGATCATGAATAGAATTAAGCAGTAGGAGAAGCAAAAGTGCAATGGCAAAGGCAAAACAAAAATTATGTGGAACAGCAATTGTTCATGTTTTGCTTAGACGCATCGGTCCCATTTAAGAGGTTGACCCGGTTGACTGACAATTCAGCTTTGTAGGAATCAGAGTTGAGCAGCTTCCTGCTAACATTTTTGTGGATCTTGCGAATCACAATCTCAAAGGCGGTATTGACATTGGTAGAGTTCAATGCAGAGGTTTCTATAAAGAACAGCCCTTCTTCTTTTGCTAGGGCTTCTCCCTCTTCCACCTTCACGTCTCTAATGTCCTCCAAATCGCACTTGTTACCCACCAGCATCCTTGCTACTGCCGTGTCACAGTGAGCTGCATCGTTTTCATTAAGCCATGCCATTTGTTAATGTCTTTGCTACATGAACATATAATCTAGTCTATCTAGCTAGGAATACATGCATGCATATACATGCATAAGAAAATTAATCGCCTATCAAGTTTTAAATTTGATCAGGGTATTAAATGTGAAATTGACTATTCAATCCTTACAAGTAAAGTAAATTGCACTTTTGGTCCAATGAGTATCATACCAATCTCACTTTAGGTTCATGTCTTTTACTTTGTCCAGGTTTGGTACATGGTCCTTCCAGCTAAATTTTCAATGCTTAAAATCGCCATAAAGATGTGACAAAGTTAGCCGGAATGATCGCAAATAGGCGAGAAGCAACAACAATATACTACATGTGGACAGAGTCAAAGGCATAAACCTAATATCAGATGAATATATTACTCATAGGACCAAAAGTGGAATTGATTCGTTACAAATAGTATGAAGAGTCTTAATTGATACGGAGTACTACGTAAATTAGATTTTTAGGACAGACTTGACCCACTTTTACCAATAAATAGATCTGAAATGTCAAGGGAAAATACAAATTTACTAGTATATGTTACTCAACTTGGACCTTCGTTATTGAGCAACACAAAAAATAAAACAAGATATATATTTTGCTAAGATATACTATCATCAGTTCTTTAATAGTTGACACAGTTTGTATTTCAAATGAGACAAGGTATTTATATTTCAAAAATAACATATTTCGAAAATGATTTAACCATCTACATAGGCACAGTTCATCAAGTTCCTATCCTATTCCTGTTTCAGTAGATGCCACCATGGGTTTGAAATTGTCACATCATAATCTCTATCTCTCTCTGTGAAAGAGTGTGAACTAATGATCAAAATTCAAAACCCTGTATCGGCACTACCCCATGGTAATATGTACAAAAGCCTCTGCCCTTAAGTAGTCATGGACTCAAAGTCATCAAGTTCGTACACCTTTGCTATCTGTAGATAGTATAAAGGGTATACTTGACAAATAGCTTTTTTTGGAGCTTGTAGTTCATTTGGCACCACATGAGGTTAGAACAGCCAGCTGATGAAACTGCACTTTGCTGTTTGTCTAACAACCTATTGCAAGAATTCATTGGGTCCAAGAGCTGTTATACGAAACACTCTACGTCTCCACTCATGGCTTTTTATATGACTCATAACTTCCCTCTCACAAATGGGCAACAACTAACTTTTTACTACCCCTGCATTTCCCATATATTTGTCCACTTATTCATGTTTGGTGTTCCTAAGTATCTATCCATTTAGAAAATAAATTCGTGCACCATTGATTACTTTTCTCATTTCGACCCTCCAAAATCAATATGAAGCACATTGTAAAACATGAAAAGAGAATGTAAAATATATTTAACCGAATGGGTAATGAGTTCATAGATACAGGTGACTTTGGTAAAACAAATATATTGTGATTGACTCAAATTTCTATGAAGATTTTTTAGTTTGGGTACTCTAGGTAATGTAGACATATGCAAAGGAACAAAAGAAGTAGGAAACAACTTAGCCGTTTGATAATATAATCACCTTTCCAAAAAAACGACTATAAGCTAACAGCTAAATGATTATTGCAATACATGCCTTAATACTCAACGTCATGAAGTTTCTACTTTCGACATAACCCTATGGTGTAGGGCGTAATCCTTTTCGTTACCTACATTGTTATAGAAAACATTAGGTAACAATGCTATTAAGGTATTAGGTAATCCCTAATAACTTATCTCTTACTTAGTTGAGCTAGTTTGAATTTCACTCTTGCTAACATGCTACTTCAAAATAGGACTTAGACAATGATAATGCTACTTCAAAATAGGATTCATTCACTCCTACAGTCCTACTTTGAGGATTTTTAATCAAATTATTCTTTTAATAAGACTAAATAAGCCCTATTTGAGGAATAAAACATACTTAATCCTATTTTTGCACTTCATGTATGTTTTGGTCCTATATTGAGCAACTTCTATATATTTAGTCGACTATTAGAAAGCAATCATGTTACACAGAATCATTTCCTTGTTCTGGATTTGGAAATCACGCCTGAAACCCATCAAACTACCAATTTATTTATATAGAAACAAACCAGATCAGGAAACCATTATAACAAAATCGGATAATGATTTAAAAACTAGATCAGAATATCGAAAAGGGGAGAAGAAAAGGGGGTATAGCTTACTATCGAGCTCTTCTAGCCAGCGTTTGATGCTCTCAAAGGTAGTCCTGCGGGTAATGTCATAGACAATAAGAGCACCAACAGCTCCTCTGTAGTAAGCAGAGGTGACCGCCCGGAAGCGTTCTTGTCCGGCGGTGTCCCAGACTTGGGCCTTCACCTCCTTTCCGTCGATCATCACAACTTGGGTCTGGAACTCAACTCCGATTGTGGCTTTGGAGTGGTGGTCGAACTCATCCCTGGCGAACCGGGACAGCAGGTTGGATTTTCCGACCGCCGAGTCGCCGACGACTACTATCTTGAACAGGTACTCCTCTCCTTCCTCTTCCTTCATAATCTTTTCTTAAGCTGCAGCAAATTGATCGAAAGAAGTGAGGAACGAATTGGGATATAATAAATACCAGTTCCTCGATAACCTTATACTGTAGTCTGTGGCTCGGTGATTAAGGCCCCAAATGGAAATTAAAACCTGCAGTCAGTTAATTAGAAACAAAAAGATGTGGATTAGTAATGATATAGTTTGAAAGATGAAGCTGAGTAGCTCGACATTAAAGTGATCAATAGTCCAGACACGCTCTAAAGCTGCTTCACTTTCAACTTTGAAAACGACAGAACTCATCGGGGGGTATATTCTACTCCGCGATTGCCGCATTCAATGAATATTTACCGCAATTTCCTAGACTGGTCTGCATGCCCTGATCTGGTTTGAAATCTGGTTTGAACAAGTCTGGTCTGGTTTAGTTTCTTTGTATTTTTATAACTATCAAAGTCTGATCTGGTTTGAACAAGTCTGGTCTGGTTTGGTTTCTTTGTATTTTTATAACTATCCAAGTCTGATCTGGTCTGGTCTGATCCGGTCTAGTTTGGGACAAATTACAGTCCAAGCAAAAACATCCTTAATCCGAAATGTGGTAATGGTCCACACACCTTGATCAGATAAAATGGAGAAAGTGAATAATAGGAATAATATGATAATAGTGTTCAATTAACATTGAAATGAGGTGACATAATGATTAACAGAATGAATTTATATGATTGATATTGAATTGATAAAGTAATAAAAAGTATTAATGATTTAAGATTTTATATATGATGTGAGATAATCTTACTAGGATTGATTAGAAAAGAAATACTACCTCCGTCCCAGGGAGAAGTTCCCAATTTCCTTTTTTGGCAGTCCCAACAAAAAGTTCTCATTTCCTTAAATGGAAAGTTATCCTACATAAAAACAGTGCCAAACAGTGCAAAACAGTGCCAAACAGTGTCGAAACAGTGCCAAACAGTGTCGAAACAGTGCCAAACAGTAAAATTTACCCCTCAGTAACTTTATTTCCTTAATATGTGTGAAAGTCAACCCGAGAACTTCTCCCTGGGACGGAGGGAGTATACGACTTTCAAATAGTTTTTTAGTAGGTTGAGGCTTGAGATGATCACTCATCACAGCTAGCTATAGTGCACTTATTAACTCTTGAGCTATCCTTATGCGTTGTGGATCTCATGTTCAATTTTATCTTAGGTTGTACAGTTGTTATACTGTGAGAGCACCTCATGGTGAGCATTCTATTCACATTTTTATAACACGTGTGAACAACACACGAGATTTATTTTTTGTTTAAAAGAATGTAACTCACGTTGATGAGAATGTAACTCGACACAAGTCAAAATGTAAGTTGTGTGATACGTAGTATAAGAAATAGAATATTGATTTCAATGTAAACAATAAAAAAGGAATCCAATTGCACTATTACTATATGTAAATAAAGAGTATGTTTTGTTTCTAATATCATGACTAAAAAAACATACTCTTGAAGCTAAACATGCGTTGATAGCTTCTTGGTCGTGTCGAACTGTTAGAGAGAAGGAAGAGCTAAAATATAGAGAGAGAAAGAATTTGCAATAGATGATTTTTGAACCCTTTACAACTAGGGGTGGGCACGGTCCGGGACGGTCCGGGATTTGACTTATCCCGATCCTGTCCCGGTTTTATAATAACGGTCCGGTACGGTATGGGATGAGTCTTTATCCCAATGTTGTCTCATATAAAACGGGACCGGGACAACCCGAGAAAAACCAGGACGATTCGGGATGTCCCATAAAAAATATGCATTTGTGAAATGTGATATAAATATAAGCATAAGATCAAAATAAAAACGTAAATATTTTTGCAAATTTAGCTTCCCTAAAAAGTTAAGTAAAACCTTTAATTAACTATTTTTAATTTTTTTCTTGTAAATTTTTTGGTCCCCCTAATCTTGTGTTTCCTCTAGTAGAATAGTACCGCTAAAATATTTTTATACTTTGTAGTACACTTGTAATTTTTCAATATCACATTAAATTAAATATCATATCTATAAAGACGCCATATATATTTTCTAGTAGTTATATTGGAAAATAATAAATCTATAACAACACTATAATTTGGAGTAGTAGTTATTCCATCATAAATAATATTTCGCACGTAATAATATATTATGGATTAATATTGGAATGAGAACTAAAGAAATTTTAATCAAAAGAAACAAGACTAAGAGAGACATGAAATATGATAAAATTACACTAGGGAGACTATGGACTAAAAAGTTTTAATTAGGTTTGGCTATTACATAGCATTATAAATTTAAAATAACATATTTATTTCAAACGGGACACCGGGACGGGACATGATATTTTATTGTCATCCCGGTCCCGTCCCGGTTAATATCGGTGCGGGACCGGTTCGGAATGAAATAGTTGCGTCCTAAATGGATCGGGATAGTTTCGGTTTGGGACACCGGGACCGGGATTTTTGCCCACCCATATTTACAACTACCCCCAGGGGGGTATTTATATGGGAGATGTGGGTTGGGCTCCTAGACTTTGGGCCTGGGAGGCCCGATTACAATAATGGGCCGCTAATAGGCAGTTTACACATGTTCTAATCCGCCAACAGCATAACAACATTTTCTGCGTGCTCTAGTCCGAGGTGCATCGGTGCACCGAGGTGTGACCCTCCAAGGAGCGTGTGCTGAGGTGATGGTATGCCCAGAATGTCCACTCTTTCATTCTCGACTACTTCCTCTTGCTGGGCTTTCTAATGCTAGTGCAAGTTTGGTTCGTCCGTGTGTGCAAGGGTATGAGGGCCTTGGGTCTGAGACCACATACTTTATCATCCATGAATATTTTTTTTTGTTTTAATAACAGAGATTATTTTGTAAGGTAACTTACATTATAACAAATGTAACTCGTGTTGATGGAAAATGTAACTCACGTGTATGCAAAATGTCACTTGTTGAGACAAGTTCAAATGTAACTCGCACACATAAGATGTAAATCGCGCACATTAAAATGTAAATCGCGCATAATAAGATGTAATTCCATGTATCATCAAATTTAACTCCAGAAATCGTGTATTAATATAACTCACACATGAAAATGTAGACTGCGCATATGAAAACGTAATGTCATATTTTATCATATGTAAACTCGAAATAAACATACTCAATGCATTAAAAACTCAAAAAATATAGTATTGTATAAAAGAGATAAAAATACGGAGTATAGTATAGAATACATATGCATGAATATGAAAAATATATCACAAAAAGTGTATGAATAAAAAATAAAAAATATTATAAAAAACAAATTGTGTATGAATATGAAATGTCTTATACTTATTTTAGTAAGATTAATAAATTTTCTCTTAAGAGATTGAGTTGTAATTTAAGTTGAAGATAAAGGAAAGTTAAAGTGCAATTATATTTTTAGTACTTTGATGGATAAGGAGAAACAATTGAAGAAAAGAAAAAAAATAAAGAAGAAGCCAAGGAAAATGAGAAATGATGTACTCCAGGGAGGAAACAGGGAGTCAAAATACGTTGAGATCGGCACACGCCGGGCAAAGTGTAGCGTTCTCACGATATAATTTTCATAGATGTATTAAGTATGAATTATAAAGAAATTATGGAGAGTAAGAGCCCGATTTAGTAACAAACTGGATTGTCTTTTTTTTTTTTAAGAGAAACAAACTGAATTGTCTAAGAATGTGATATTATGTAAAAATTATATTTACAAATATATTTTATGGCTAAACAAAGAAAAATTATACGTAGTACCTCGTATGACAAAACACATTAACTTCCAAGGAACTCAGACGGCCTAGTATTGGGCTCATTAAGCATAAGGGCATCCCCATCCATGCCATTATCTAGATTATGATTGAGATGTTGGAATTATTTGATAAAATAGGCTGGTATAAAATTCTAAAACTGGATTATTTTGAGATTATTTCCAACTTTAGGCTCCTCTCCCCATTTTCTAGAAATATATTCATAATTAAGGTGATGACTAGCTTTGTAGTTCGTGCATGTCTCATAAAAAATATAGGTAAATTAAGATATGAGAAGAAATTGATAGGTTTGGAGATTATTTGAGATTTTCTTATGTGAAAGTGACATGACAATAACAAGCCATACAAAACCGTAAAATTGAGTATCATGAATGAAGATGCTCTAAGGGAAACACACCGTTAAACTAAGTTTTAACATGTTCAATTGAATATCCAAACACAATTTCATGCACTTGTCAAATCTACCAATAGCACACCATACATTTTTGCTAGTACCATACACCAAACTAAGTTTTTTCTAGCACTTATCTTTCTATTTTGGACGCTCAGGGACCCAGAAAATCAGAGTTATGGGATCCCTACTCTAATGTAACTCTAATTAATATAAAACTAATATAAAATCAATAAATCACAAGTAATATACTATGTATTAAAGTAGCATAACGTTTCATAGTTAACGTACATCCCGAGGTTGAAATGACCATGTTTGAAAATAAGCAATTTGATCCAGAATCAGCTTTCAAAGATTCCAAATCAACATGTTGATTACGTAGACTATCAAAATATAATCCTTTGATTTACATCTGAGGTATTCCCGATACTCTGAATTTTTTTAAATCTTGGTAGGCTATTGAAATACCTTTTGTCCTAAATCATAAAATATCATAAATTTAATAATTTAGCCTTAACATTCAAAGAAATTTTAATAATTCAACCAAAAACATAAAAAAATCATGTTTTAGAAATTTATAATGAGAATATTTTAATATTACTTTTCAAAAAAATATCTAAAACATAGATATAAATAAATAAATATAGTAAAAATAGAGTATGTGAATGATATAGAATTCAACATGTTGTAATTATTTAAGAACAGAAACAATAGTAAATAAGATTGTTAACTTTTCAAATTAGATCAATTGTATTTTACAAACAAGTAACTAACTAACACAAAAATGAATTAGGGGAGAGAGGAGCGGCGAAGGGAAACCCTAGCCTCCTGTTCCTTCATTCTGTTCTTCTCTTCTTTTGACTTCAATCATGGAAAAAGTTTCATTTAATCAGTATTTTCAGTTCTATCTATATGTTTATTTCCTAGCGTTGTCTAGAGATATTATTTCGGTGACGAAGTGTCGCTCGCCAGATCTATATTCCCCGCCATCATCTATCGGGTGCTCTTGTGTACTAGTAAGAGGTTTGTATTGACTTCTTTATCAATCATGAATCAGGATTTCTTCTGCATCGATATAGAGACCGATCGCCCCCCTCCTGAACCACCGCCGATCCAGAAA